TGTGCGTGTGCGAGTGTGCGTGTGCGAGTGTGCGTGTGCGAGTGTGCGTGTGCGAGTGTGCGTGTGCGTGTGCGAGTGTTCGTGTGTGAGTGTGCGTGTGAGTGTGTGTGAGTGTGTGTGTGAGTGTGTGTGTGTGCGCGAGTGTGTGTGTGTGTGAGTGTGTGTAAGGAGCAATGAACAGGAAGGAGAGATCGCGGCCGGTCCATGGCTCGTTTGTAAAGGTGCTGCTCCAGCGTTGGTATTGAACGCAGAAACCACGGAAAACGATTTCTCAGAGCAGCCGGCCACCAGAAGTCTCCTCGAGACATTGGTTGAATGTGACCTAGGGGTACTTAGTAAGGAAAATCCGCCAACGACAGAACTTGAGTCCTAGCACGTCTCGGTCGCTGATGCTGCGAAGCATCGATAATGTTGACTCTGAGCCACCCCGGCCAAACATAAATATGTACATCGGGTTTTCCATGTTTAAACTTTTTAGTCCCAATTGTGGAATAGCTTAACCCTCGACCGGGCGCGCTCTTCTTTCTTTGCAACATCGTTTTTTTTTTATTTTACGTGCATAGGGAGGAAATTTCTGACAGTATGATTTTGTTTACCTCATTTAGAATAACTGTAGCAATAAGAATTACCTTTTTATTTCTTCGAGTAACACATTTTTTTAAAATCATGTGCGTAAATACAAATTGTAAACACATCTCACATTAAAATATACTTTATACAGCATTAGAACATGTGATATAGTGATAATCACACTTGTTATTTTGTTTGCTAGTGAATTGTCCACACTTTTGACATCTGAGAGTTGTTGTGGTATCCTTCACTCGACCGCAATTCACGGGTTTGCCTCGTTTTCTGTTTGATTCTTGCTCTCCTATAGTCTCAAGGTTGTTAAACCTACTCACAAACATACGGATATTCAGCGAAAGTGACGAAATGTTTGATCTTCTAATCATACAAATTCCAAACAACGGAAATTCCGAACTATACTAAAAGTTTCTGCGACCTCTTATGCAATCGTGCTTCTTGCCTTGAATGGAACGAGTGCATTCACTCCTGCAATGTCCCATAATCCGATGAAAAGTGCCATTGGCCACCTTCTTGTAATCCTTGGTATGTAATACGAACTGCACTCCTCCTTTGGGGCATTATAATGCAAGATGTGCATAGTTTTCTAGTATCACAGTCTGTGTCAGGTTGTTCATGCATTGTTGAAAGAACTATCGCTCTACTTTTCTTTGACACATATGAAACTAGAGTAATATTATTTCTGGTATCCAAAAGTAGAGTATTCTATTTCTCGTGTTTTGTTAGGTAGAAACTCAGGTTTTTTTTGACAGCCCCCACTGCTGTCAAACCAATATCTAGTAGTTGTTTTCACAATGTATAGTCTTTGTAGTAATCGATTGTTGTCACGTTTCTGTTGGTCTTTCGTATGTGTGAAAATAGTGTCACAACAGTATCATACGGAGAATTTCACGGTCGATAAGGGGTCCCATCCTTCTGCTTTCCGCAGAGGACCTACGCGTAGGTTTTAGGCTCACGGTCACTCACTGGACCTGGCGCGCGTGGCACATAGTGCAACAGACAGCAAAGGCTGTGACGGAAGGCGCCAGGAAACTGCTATCGTCATGTTGATAGAGATCATTCCAACGCCATGCGACGTCTGAGGCTCTGCTGTTGGAATACTTCCCTGGGTCACCTCACCATTTTTCCGTTAAAATACAAGAGAAGCAAAAATGAATGAATGTTGCACTCCGTGCATTAGTGTGCCCGTTCGAGAGTTAATATATTTTTTGACGGAAAAGTAGTTTTCCTTCATTCTCCTGTTAACAGCGACATTCCTCACTCCCCCGCTACTCGTAGACGCTAATTCAACCACTCAGTGTTCCGTCTGCTGGATATCTATCACGCCTACTGCACTACGAACGCTTACTGTCTCAACTCGCAGTCCACATCAAATCTTCTCCTTCAGAGCGGTCTCTGTGGCAAATCTGTACCACAATATCTCAGCAAAATTTGACTGCTGCTCATTGCTCACGATTGAGCCTCTCCCACCAGCGACCCCTTATCATTTGACAATGTACCTAGCAGCCCTGCTCGTTTTTCTCACAACGCAGTGTCTCACATTTTTTCCCAGCTTTCTCTGAAGAAACGAGGAAATCCAGTTGTAATTTACGAAGTCTGTTCAAATATTTGTTTCCCTCCTTTGGGTCCCAGAAAATATATAGAATCGAGGCTTGTGTAAAGTTGCTTGAGATGTAAGCAATAATATTGTCGTCTCAAAGGGTTGTAAATTCGAAGGGTTGCTGAATGTTAGTTAAATTTAATAGGTGACTAATGGTACTACTTTCGTACGTTATTTGTAATAATTGATATTTTCGAAAATTCAGAGAGTTCAACGAAAATCGTCCCTTCGCCATTTTTATAAGCGTATTTTGCACTACCTGAAAAACAATATGAAATTGGACCCTTATTGAGAAAATTTTATCTTTAAAATTGCTTTAATTTCACAAACAAAATTCGCGAAAAATACTTTTATATGTTTTAAAAAAAGGTGCATGGTCTTTCATGAAGATTTCATTTTGACGAACAGATTTTATTAAGGAAAATATCCCTTCTTTCAATGCTGTAGTTGTAGGAAGACGGCGAAAACAGTGAACGTTTGCAGTTTTTGAAAATTCGGTGACTTCAACCAAAATGGAACCTGGCCATTTTTATATGTACTACTTTTTTAAACAAAAATACCTCCAAAATATATAAATCAAAATATTCGTTTCGAATTGAAGCAGCCGTGACATCACCCAGAACGATAGGGGAATATCAATTTTAGTGAAAATCCTTCATAAGCTATAGCCACTAGGGCTGATCAGACACACATTTTGCCGTAACCAATTTCTTGCTATCAGGAACCCACCGATCGTTGATTCTACCTCCATAACGTGTTAGAGGGAGGTTACTCGTTACACTTAGGAATACGAACTATTCACGTTTTCGATATCAGGACCCACAAAACGAGTATATCTTTTAAGTGGAAAAATCATCGTTTTTTACTGCAGAATAATAGTATTTTCTCTAAATAGTATACCAAAAAGTAAAAATAAATTAGAATATTAGTTTTACAGTTTTTAAAAATCAATATTATTACATGACAAAGAATCCTGTTGAACTAAAAACACTTTTTTGTTCAAGGGGCAATATATTCAAATTTACTTTGGAAATTCCTGTATACTATACGTACTTGGCAAATTATATCTTCAGCGTTGTTTTGTATAAAGTGTAGCTGCAGTCTGCGAGTCAAACACCCACAGCTAAACCTTATAGAGAAATCAGCATGGGTTAAGTTGGCACTACAAGCTGTTTTGAAACTTAGTATCATCACGAAAACGTAGGATTCTAAGATTTAAAGATTAAAATTCGCAACATATA